CGAGCTCTGGTGGTGCTCCTATTGGCTGTCACTCAAGAAAGCCGCTTTTTCATTTGCATAAAGTTAACGGATTCTCAACTTTGTTGCGTAGCTCGACATGCCCATCTGGTCACCAATGGTTGCTGTCGCTCGCATAGACAGAGGTCGCCGAAAGTTGCTCTCTCTCCGTTGTAACGAACAGGTCGCTTGTCGCTGCAAGTCGTTTGTAGTGTGAATGAGGCTAAATTGTGCAGCTTATTGGACAACAGTAGTTTGTTCTGTAGCCAATCCTCCCAAGAAATATGATAATAATGTTGACCTTAAAATTATTTGAAAATTTATTTTTAACTGCTTTTATTCCTAATATTAAGTTAAAGAATTTTGACTTTCTTCAGAATTTAGGAATTTTAGATATTAAAGGAAACATCGTGACATTTTCCTTGAACTGTTAAACATCACTTGGGAAATATTTAAAAATGAATAAAAAAAATCTACAGGAGGGAGAATTATTTTGACTTCAACTACATATTTAAATATGTATATTTTTTAACATTAATCAAGTTTTAACTGAATTGCACGCACATCACTTTTTTTTTAGCCCCCAGATAACTAAAATGAATTGTGACTATTGGTGGTAAAATGATCCTGAATGCACACAGGCCTATTGCAAGCTACAGGCAAATCATGTAAATATAATAAAGTTTATAAAATTAATAGGGAATTAAAGCTTATGTTGGCAGTATCCCCTCTTAACACTTACACTGTATATAGACGTAGAATTTGATTAAAAAACCTGTGTTGGCAGTACCTCATCTTAACACTTACACTGTATATAGACGTAAAATTGCATTAATTTACATAAGTTTAATCATAGGGGCCAGTTTATAAGGGGTGTTTGTTAGTAAATCAGACTACAGAGGTCATGCTAAATTAGATTTGTCTGAATATTCCACAGCTATGACACAAGTATAACTAACCATAGAAAAATTAAGAGGCAACATCTCAGTTCATCTCGATTTACAAATTAAAGTTAGGTGTTTGAGTAACACATACAATTTGGTTTATTCTGTAAACTATATTTATTACTAATTTTGTTCACACTTTATTTAAGGTACACAACTACAATGAGTTTTGCCTCAATCTCCTAATTTTCTGCTTATTAATATATATTAAGGTATAAATTAGGTTTAGGATTAGGGATTTAGAATGACATCATGTACTTTCTAAATAATAATAAACAATCAATATCTTAATAATTGTCTGGTAATAAGCCACTAAGTTAACACTGAGAATTGATATTTAAACTAAAATGTTACCCCCCAAAAAAAAAAAAGTTAAAATGTAATATAGAATATAGATAAAGGAGGTTTAAAAAATGTAAAGAAATAAATAATTTGGAAATAACGCTCATTTTCAAGCACAATAAATGAAAACAGTTTAACTAACAATTAAATAGTCCTTTAATTGTTTATTGTTTATTGATTAATTTGTTTATTTAAAATGTTATTAAATCACAATATTATTTTTTGTTGTTGTATAGAATAAAACAAATATTAATATGTTACTAAAAGTCATATCTAATTATTCAAGTAAATCCAGGGAAACAGATCATTTTCAAGTGTTGTCTTGAAAAATGTATTTATTATATATTATTTATATATTATTTATTTTATTTCACAGCAGTACATAGGAAAAGGACAATACAGCATATTGTGGCAAGCAGATTAACTTGGAAAAATCTAAATGATGGACAGTGTTGGGTAAGTTACTTTAAAAAAAATATAGATCACAAATAACCGACTACTACTGGAAAATTGTAATCTGAATACATTATTAATTAATTAATGTAAAAAGTAATCAGATTACTAATTATTTTAAAACAAACTATACCTATAAAAATACAAAATAACCTGCAGCTCTTTCAGTAATTTGATATTCACTCAAAAACCTTACAATGGGTTGATCACAGCACCTTAAAATATTCAAAAGACTTAAAGAGATCATCATTCACTTGTTCAAATTTAGACTGAAGTAACTGTAATCAAATTACACAAATTTAAAATGCAATTCATTACAATACTGCGTTCCCCAAAAATGTCATTAGAATACAGCAAGTGTAGTTACCTCCAACTATGTTGATGGACAAATACATTTGTAGAAACAAGAATTAATTAAATAAGTTGTCTTATATGAACATTTGCAGGTGTCTAAAAAAAGATTTCGGTGTCTGCAATGCAGTAATATTGCCAAGATATTCACTCCTTTAAATGAATAACATAACAAAAAAGAAGGGCAAGATTTTACATTTTACCTATGCAGCCTTTCTTCAGTTTCTATATGCCTCAGCTACAATTTTCATGTACTAAAACCAGATCCCAAATGTTCTGAAATGCACAGCAGGGATCTGCCATCTTATCTTATTATGGATGTGGATGGCCTAAATTTCCACTCTATGTCTAAGCAAAGCTAATTTGTCATGGCCTGAGGTAATCACTGTCTCTGGGTGAAACTGCAGACACCAGCTTTCAAAGCGCAGAGAAAAGGCATAATTAATAGCTTGCTAATAACATGCATGGACACCGAGTTCTTGTATCCCAGCAACTTCCTCCAATCCATCTGTTTGAATGCTGCAAAAACTGTGGGTACTGACTTAAACCAGAGCCTCCACAAACTGAGGGCTCTTGGAAAGCTGCCTAGACAATCAGACATCAGTATAATTCTGAATATCTAAGAGATTATTCTGCTATATACACTGGCTACCATCAATTTTGCAAGTGTTTATAATGAACATATAAATATCAGTCCAGCACTGACCATCTGTTTTATTATCTTTTTCAGATAGAACCATTCAGGATAGCAAATGTGAATTAATAAACTAAAACTAATCCAAGGCACATCATGTGACCTCCAGACACCTAATATGGCTGGCAGCTTTACTGGTGCTTTATTACTTATTGACCCGTTTTGCTGTTGCATTAACAAGAGTTTCTTCAGTTCATCATGAAAATAAAACTCACATCTATAAATGATTTCACTGGCCCATAAAGAGCTGTACACACACCGGTGTCTTATAAACCACACACACTCACCAGCCTTGTGAAGTCGAGCATTGCTATAGTAACAAACATTAGCAGAGGAAGAATGAGCGATCATAAAGAGACATTCATCTCAAGGGTATTTGAATTCTGAGCGTTTAAAGCCTTGTCAAAATTGTATTCAGAATGTCTTAATGTTGCTTTAAACATGCCAATGAAAAAAAGAAAAACACCTTAAAACATAATATTGTCCATCTATTAATGAGTCTAAAAATAAAATACCTTGCCGTCAGGTAAATATCTATTCTCAGAAGTTTTTGGCGAGTAAAATTCTCAAAAGGAACAGCATTTATTTGAAATATAAATATTTTGTTTTACTTTACACATCTTCACCCTCAATCTATAAAGTGTCCTAATTGAACAAAAGTATTATACCTAGTATGATGTATTTTTTGTTGATTCAATCATCAAATCCCAAGTGAAGGACACTAAATACGGGTATAAACAAGGTCTAAACTTTTGACTTTGTCCACTTTTTGAATTGATTGTGTGGTGTAAACACTCATTTGGTTGAATGCTTTTGAACAGCCACTTGAAAACAGCCTACTCTTCGCCTACTGGTTAATCATGCAATAATTAAGGTAAGTGTTGTGAGAAAGTTCACTGAAAGATGTTTATGCTTATGCATTGTATCAATATTAACTGCAAATATGAGCAAACTTAACTGGGATTTTTTTTTTCAATATTACCAAAAACCTTGAGATTCTTGGGTCTGTTTTTGAAGGTACGATACTATATTGACCCATTTTAACTGAGTGGTAAGGTATGGTATGGTTAAGTATGCTTTTTTGGCCATTTACACTGTCAAATGTACCAAAAAGCAAACCGTATCTACCATTTTTGGCTACCCTTTCTAAAGGGTACCTAACACAACAAAAGGGTACCAAAAACCAGAGCTAGATGTGCAGTTGAACGCTATTGGTTTACAGTGAAACGTCACTAAGCGTGTTCACAGGCCAGGAGAATGAAAACAAAGTAAGCGGCATTTTTAAATACAAAGCCAAGAAAATACACTGTAATATCATATACATATAATGAGCCATGGTCGCTCCAAGCTGAAACAAACCTTGTCTTCGTCTTGATGAACAGCCACAAAGCCAAGAAAAAGAGCTGAATCCACCGTATGTCCTCTTGTTGTTTACGAGGCTGTCTAAAAGTGCAAGGGGTTTTACTTTTTCTAGAGAGCTTGCGTGCACTTCTATATTTGAAATTAACTTCTTGAGCTGATGATAATAACGTGAGCGATTACTGAAGTGCTTCTGACATCCTTTCAGAAACAGACAAACAAAAGAGTGATGCAACCTAAAACATAAACAAACTGCCATGTTTAACTATTATCATCACCTTTTGGACTATTATGAACTCAGAATGATGGAATAACTTTCTAACAGAGGTTACATGTGCTGCTGAAGATTAAAGATACAGATGAGAGGTTAATGTGTGCTATATGTTGCGTGTTGTTTTTTAACCCAAATAAGGACTAAATCTATGCTGTGTGTAGTTTTCTTGTAATTGGTAACATGTCAGAAACTGTAAGCGGCTTGTTTGTGTTCATATATGTGCTGCATTTATTTATGTACATTATATAATTACAGTATCGCACTCAATCATTGATCTGCAGTTACAATCAAATCATGTTTATAGAAGGATTAGTAATAAACATTTATACACAGGTATTTATGTGTATAAAGCATCTGTTTTGTGAGAAGTGCTTCTCATATGACATGTGAACGACCTGTACTGCTTTACTTTGACATTTCCATGAGCAAGGATGACGTCAAATGAAACTTTGTGTCATACCATTGGTAGCCTTTTGGCAGCGGAAACACAAGCCTGATAAAGGTGACCCGTACCGACCCATACCGTATCACTCAATGTAAACAGGCCACAAGTCTACTTTGAAAAAAGATAAGTAAACTGCATTACCTGTTCAGGTTTGAGTCCGGGTGGCACCCAAGCATACTCCTCAAGAGCACAGCCAGAGTCATCGTCAGATGTAGAGTTCCTCTGGAAGTCGTACATCAGTTTGGTCACCGTCTTCTCCATCTCCAGAGGCATGGCAGTCACAACATGCTCCTCACGAGGGCACTTACAGTGGAGACAGATTTTCCTAGAAGGCAAAGTAAAAAACTGTCAGATAAAACTAATTAAATAGTATAATTGATTTTTGTTAATTTTAGGGATGCACTGATATGGATATTTTGATAGGATAGTTATCAATAACTGCTTAAATGTGGAAGCCAATACATGAGTTTTTTTTTTAATCCAAGACTCTTCCCAGAAAACAAAGACACAGCAAGAAAACATCCAGGTCTTTCTTTCTTTTTGCGATTCAAGATCCAGATCTTTCTTCTGTGAAGGCATTTACGAATTGCAGTTCTTTCATAGTGAAAAGTGTCTACATCTTATCTTCCCTCAAGCAAAAACTCTGCAGCATTTAATGTGCCACATCATGCAAATGCAACCTTTAAAAAAATAAATAAATAAAATAATAAAAATAATAATAATAATTCTAACTATATATATATATATATATATATATATATATATTCATTTATTTTTGAAAACTAGAAACTAGTTAATTAGACATATTTAGCCATTAGCATCCTTAAACGTGAACTTAGGGTCAAACAAATCATGAATGGATGATGCTAAAGATAGATATCAATGGGGTCAAAATATTTGTGCTGTCCACATCAAAAACAGTCACTTGATCAAATTGCATTCTTAGAGTAAATACTCAGGTAGAACAATTATATTAAGTGCACACATTAAAGCACGTATTCTCTTTCTATTTATAACTTTCGGATAATCACTATGGAACATTTTGCGAGAAAATGCACCAAAATGTCAGAAAAAACAAAACTCCAAAAACTCATGTCAGTACAAAGTATAAAATGGTAATACAGCTCAGATGACAACTTATAATAATAATAATTATAATAATAATAATAATAATAATAACAACAACAACGAGTTGTTCACAGCAAATTAATCTCAAGTTATAATTAAACCTCTCAACATTTTCTTACCTAGTTTTAGTTTTTGTATTGTTTTACTTTGTCAATCAACAGATTTACATTTGGCTATAACCAAGAGGGGCCTAAAAAATCCTACAAAAACCCTCAACACGATCAGTGAGTCATGTCACGATGAAACACACACTTCACCAGTCAAACACGCAGCGTCTGGTTAGCGTCCAGACAAGCAGACACAGGCGTCAAGCTCTGCCAAAACCACACTTTCTGAGCACGCCGGCCAGTTGGTCAGATTAACTAACCTCTTAGACCAAAGGAAGAGAAAACAAGCCGCCTACTTAGGGCCAATCCCATTAGCACCTCTGACAGGCTGCAAAGTGTCAAAGACAGACACCGGCCACTAGCACAATGATTGAGTGACGTTTTCACGTTAGCCAGATGGTTAACTTCAGAACATGTTTAATCCATACAATCATTTATGTCAAAGGACTCCAGTTGCTATGGAAGCAAGACAAAAAAGATTCTGTTCGTTGAGTTTAAGGCGTCAGCAGATCTGTGTCATCGTGCCCCCATTGTCCTAAGGATATGAAGATTGAGTCATGGCATTTCTTCAACAAGCTTCAACTCCATTAACACACACTCAAATGTAATGTTTCCTTCTGAATAATAAATGATTTGTCTTTTTAAAATGTCATGTAATGTGAGTGACATCACAACTGTCTGGTTTATGTGAAGTCTGACTAACAGACCGAGTTAATGCAACTGTAGTTTGGCTTCATTTGGCATAGCAGGCTTGATATTGTAGATTTGGTTCATAGAGATGATGCAATGTTAATTTATTTCAACAAATATCTGGTCACACTTGGATAGATTATTACCCACTGTGACTTAATTAAAACTATGCTTGTAGTAGTCAGTATTGTTGTAGACACAGTATATCGTTTTAGCACTGAAATCACAATAGCTTTTCCAATGTGGCGTTTCCACTGTCACTTCCGGGGCCTAATCGGGCCAAAGCGGGGCTTTCTTGGGGGCAGCGGCTGGCCTTTTTCGGCCCGCCGAATACCTTGGGCCAAAGAGACCCAACTGGGGCTTCGGGGCAGGGTGAAAGGAGAGGTGGACACAGTTTTCCGATCGCACGAGTACATGCGCAAATAAATAAATAAGGGAAAGAAAACATCTAGCCTTATGGGGTCTTTTAAATGTAAGGTTATTGCATAAAATAATAAAGTAGTTTTAATTTATCGTGACATTCTTTGCTGTGTCCTCGATGTTTCAATAATGCATAATAATATTTACACAATATTATAGACACAGCCAGACAGTAAAGGTTTGAGAGTTTTTGTCAAGTTTAAAAGGTGTGTTTGTGCGCGTGTACATGCCTGCATGTGTGTGAGACCGAGAAAAAGAGCTCCCTTTACAGCTCTGTTGATGCCGCGAGCAGCTTTTTTATTTTTTATTTTGGAGATATTACACAACATGAATACAACTGAAAGACATTAAACTTTACAAATTTCGTGCCCACTTTCGTAGACTTTAAACAATATAGTGTTATACATTGATAAAATAGCCTAAGCTATACTGAAATATAATTTAAAGAATTTTTTTTATGTTTTTAAGCCACATATAACTTTCATTTTACAAAGGCCTCTCTGAAAAAAAAAATACTTTAGATATTTTTTAAAAACAATAAACACCAGAGAAGGTTTGAAATATTATTTAGAAAGTATTTTGGATACTACGATATTAAATCGTGCAAACAGAGCATTTTTTGGGTGAGTGAAAGCAGAATCTAGCCTACTTTTTTTTTCTGTCACCCAGTCCAGCGCAGCGCCGCTTAAACGCATTGGGGAAAAGTCTAAACAAAAAAATGTGTTCTGTGTCCTCAAACAAGTGTTTATGTTTTATAAAACAAGGTCAAATTTATAAATGAAACTTTAAATGAAGAGCTTTAGTGAATAGCTGCTGAGCGCAACAAATATGCCTATATTTTATCAGGCTACTTGCTCTTATGTGCTGAAACACTTAACACGGCGTCTATCAAAACAAGGATGTTATGAAATGCATTTCATAGCAAGTTATAACGGAGAATTTCTGTGGTTTTATATTATGGATGGTGCGCTCACTGTGCTGTGTCCCTCCGTTCGATGCAGAATGCCAACAGTCGGTGAGTAAACAAATGTAATGAATGGAAATACACAGGTCTGTGCGTATAGACATAAAATGTACTGCTGTACAGTAACATGTCATTTGTTTGTTTAGGTTGTCTTCATTTTAATGGTTTTGTTTGTCATAATTCCATGGGGTGCCTTATCTGCCTGATTCCCGCTGAAGTGGGAGGGTTGTGTGATGTTTTGATTCGGGGGACGTTCTGGGGGCAGTGTTTGCGTGACGCGCTGCGAGCTACTAGCCCGACAGTGGAAACGCGACATAATTTTGGCCTCATTACTCAACCTCCCGGGCGATTGGCCCGGCCTGGCCCGATAAAAGCCCTGGCTCGCACCGGCCCGATAGTGAAAATTCGGCTAATGTGCGCATCCGCAATAATCACATTGCAGGATTTACAATATTGAGTCTGGATCATAGTTGACCAGGAGCCACAAAATATAGGATTTTTAGAGTCAGTGCCAAGATTAACCATAATAAAAGTTAAGGTTTACCATTTGCTTGTGTTTTTAAGGCCTGTGATGGAGCATTTCAAGAAAGTTTAAAACATTTGGGCACAAGAAATTATGACTTTTGGAGGTGTAACAAAGATGAATTATTATTATCTTAATAATTATTTATACACTGAAGATGATAGTGATAATTTTTATTTATAAAAAAGGCATTTCTTAGAATAGTTTTTTTTATTGTTTAATGTCCAAATGTCTGCATTGTCTTTAACCTAAAACAAAATTATTTTGCTTACCCCATAGGCAGATTTTTTAGCTTGCTAAGGAAAATCTCACTTAATTTTAAATAATTATTTTTGAAAGTGTTAAGAAAAATCTATATATTTTTATATTTGGACTGGAAACAAAGCAACCCCTAAGTGATTTGCATTGTTATTATTCCATTTCTGTAGCTAAATACTTGTTAGACTCCCTAGAAAAAGTCAAATAGAGAATTCAAACGATCTAGTGAAACTGTATTCATAATGCAATATTTATTGCAAAAAAAAAAAAAAATTAAATATAGCAATGTCAGATTTTTCCAGTATAGTGCAGCCCTAGCTCTCAACTAGGGCCATTTAAATAAAAAAAAAAAAATTATTTTGCCATACAAAAAAAATTAAGAGTTTGGGGTCTAAATTATTTGTTTATATTTTAAAAATAATAATTCTTAGATTTATTTTATTAAAATAACTGTTTAGGGAAAAATACTGTTAACAGTGAATGATGAGAATTTCAAAAATAAAAAACATTTTCAGACCCACTTTTTATTAAGTGGCATTATTTACTATGTACTTACAGTTTAATTATTTATTTGGTACAATGCACTTATGTACATACAAGTTATTATAGGTAAGTATTTAAATATTATCTACATGACATTACATTTTGCAATTATTTTCTGTAATTACATTTATGAATAAACTGTTGAGACATGCCTTCTACCTTAAGCCACACCTACTCAGACAACCAAACCTGGCCCTAACCATAAACATAATTTTCTATTTTATTAAATTTTAAATTGCATTTATAAACATTAAAACATCAAGGAAATGGTTTTGGATACATTCTTTGATAAATAGAAAGCATATATCTGAAATCAAATCTTCTATATTGTAAATGTATTTCTCACTTTAGGATTTTAAAGTGTTCTCCTTGCCTAATAAAAGCAAAAAAAAAAAAAAAAAAAGAAACAAACAAAATCTCAAATTTAGGGATTTGGCAAAACGTTCAAATAGTCCCTTCACAGTGAAAGTATATACAAGTGCAAAACAAACAAAAATACAGAAAAACAATACCAAAGAAACAATAAACAGGAAAATAAAATCAGAAAAATATATATATTTCAAATATCAACAAAAATAATAACAACAGGAATCCACGTAAAAAAGATTGCTACTGTGGTGCCTCAAGCAAACTCTTATGTTGTGGATACCTGTTGTTATAATTTATGTAGATTTATATGGAGTATATTTTCC